CAAGTTGTGGACCTATTGAATGATGCTTTCCCTAATGCTTTACTCAATATGGACGAAGAGTTGTCCACAGACCATGAGAAGTACGATAAATTATTGAAGGAAGCTGAGCGAATGGTACCTTGGTTGTGAAGATTTTTCTGTACTAACATCAGGGGTGGTTGGAAAGAAGTACAATTCATATTTCATAGAAATATTTGGAACTTATCTATGTAGGATGACAATGAGGATACCGACAATGACCAAAATGTTCACCAAGTTTCTTCTGCAATCATCCGAAATGTAATGATCCGTCTCCAATTATTATGATTTGTATAATTGTAAAATGTGAAATTATGAAAATGCCCTTCGAGGCAAATACGTTGACTTTTGTGGACCACCATGTCGTGTCACGTAAGATCCATTTTCTTGACATATTTAGATTGTACTCGTCATTACAAGAGCGTGAGTGCAAATAGAACATAATTTGGAGCTATAACGAATGAGTTATTAATGTTTAAAGTCGGGGGTATTTTAGTAAATTTAACCTTCATTTCTAAAAGGCTCCAAATTTTGTGGAGCATTAATCTGGTGCCACGTGGGTGTCTGGGATGGAAAGGAAAGAAGAGAAAGGAGGGAGATGGACGGATGAGAGAGGAGAAAAATGAGAGAAATGAGGAGAGTGATGCCCAATCAGAAAAATGGAGTTAAGAGAGTGAACCAATGAGGAGGAGAAGAAAGGAGGGAAGGGAGAGAAGTGAGGATCATCGAATCCCAAATGACCTGGTTCTGACTCGATGGCAACCCGATTTTGGGTAGCTAATTTTGGCGATTTTCGTCCGTTTTTTTGACGAATTGCTTCGATCCACCACCTGGAAACCAATTCACAACCTCCCCCTCTACCATTCCCGCCCAAGATTGAAGGGTTTTAGGTCCAAATTCACGAGGAACTTCACCGAAGCATCGGAGGTACTCGGCGGCGATCTCACCGTTTTGGCGAGTTGCACCACCTACCACCACCCTTAATCAACTCCCCTAGGACCCAGGAACAAGACCCAACTAGTTGTAGGGGCGTCGGAACACCGAGGAAGGACAATTGAAGCTCACCAATTCTAAGGTGTTCGATGGGTGCGAGCCAATTTGGGGCCTTTCCCGGCCAAATTAGACTTGGCCACATGTATAAAACTTGCTCTACTCATTGATATCTTTATTTCTGTAAAATTTGGGAATTTTTGGAGTTGTTCGATTTTCCAAAGAGTCGGGGGTGGCCGGCTGCCACGTGCAGCGGCGTGTGGGGGAAAACCCGAGGTCCCTCTTTAGGTTTCTCGATGTGCCGAATCCGAATCCGCCATCCATTTTCCCAAATTCCAACGTTTTCGTAGAGTTTTATTAAGGGGTGTGATATCCACACACCTTTTTTTACTTCTCCCACATCTTTTTGGTTTTTGGCCATTGGATCAGATGAATTGAAGAAAATCAATGGACATAAATTAACAGGGGTGTGTGAGAAGTAAAAAGGGGTGTGTGGATAGCACACCCCTTTATTAAACGGCTTTTAATTGTGTTTAGGTGCATCGGTGGAAGTGATCACATTCTCAATAGTTTGAGTGGCTTCTGGGCAATGGAAAACTTGTGAGTGCACCCGTTCTAAACCTATATATTTTTATAAAATACTAGCCTAGCATGCATGGCATATTTCATGATTTGAATATGATATATATTATGCCTTTATAGATTTCTATATTTATAGTTTAAGAGAAAATTAAGAATTATTTAAATTACTTTTACCAACGCTTATTATTTATCGAACTACATTCCACTAAAGGTGATGAATTATGGGTTTGCATATATGCATTTCTATGGATATGAATTATTGGATTTATTATGATTATGAAGATGGTTTGAGCTAGAAAGTTATATGATTTTATGAGATGATGCTTTGAACATTTGAACTCCGAGACTTAAATATGAGTTTTTGAGACATGTTTTTGGTACTTATCTAGAGGGTTATCATATGGCACATCCGCACACCATGGGTATAGATGTCTATGGCCATAGGACACATATGATGAGGAAGAGTGATATATGATAAATTATATACCCCCAGCTTCACTGCCAAAAGCAGTGTCGGACAGCTTCACTAGCCACGGCTAGTGTCAGTGTGGATGTATGCTATTTTATACAGCTTCACCTTCGGGTGATGGACAAGTACTGCCATTGGGCGACTATGATACCCCTAATTGAGTACAACATGGATACGATTTACGATGTTTCACAAATGTTTTTCATGGCATGCTAGCATTTTTCATAAAACCTATATGTAGTATTATATATGTTTTCAAAACAGGGGGTTATTATGTTCATAAAAAAATGTTTTCCTATTATTAGTATTATTATAAACTTTGGTCCACTCACTTTTTTGGTTTTTGCGCCCCCTCAGGAGTTAGGATCTAGGCACATGATCCTGGCGTCAAGGCATTTTAGCATAGGTATCCTCAAGTCTTCTCAGTGTAGGTATCATTCCCTTGTTTGTATCTTTTCCTAGTAGTTCTTTCATATTATTCTTAGTTAGTTGTATGCTTTGAGCACGTTCATGCTTTAGTATAATCGTCCTAATTGCATATATTTTATTTGTATGCATGTCTAAAATGGCTTTGTCACCCTCAGGTGTCGGCCAGCACGTGCTTACCCTAATATTTGGGGATGTCGGGGTTAGGGCGTGTCACAAAACCTTCTCGGAGTACGGAGCAACCACATCGTTGAACCACCATTCGAGATGGAATGTGTCCCTAAAATTGAATTAGATGCATTACCTATTGACCTCAGGTGCCAACCACCAACTCAGCGGAACTCCTTGGTTAAAGAAAGCAGCGATGACTCAAGCAATGAAAGCGACATTGAGAAGGACAATAAAGGACACAAGTATACCAACAGAAATTGAGTGTTTAGCAATGTAAGGTTACTGTGTAAGTACTACAAGATTTAATTTCACTCCTTTAAGTACACAGCCTCGTTGCACTTACTTAGCGTACATAAAAAAATAAGACGTTACGCGATGGAGTTGAATTCCGTCTGTTAAACCAAGATTAAGATTAATCTAGTAACTTTACTGTTTTGCTTTATATTTTAATGGATTATTATTGTGCATAATTGGCATCTAAACATGCAGGATGAAGGAGTTGTGAACATAACTTCTGAAATGTGTGATACTAATAGGGATATATCATCTGCATGGAGCCTACGATACCAGCTTGTGCATAACAATAAAGTGGTTGTTGCATTTCTCTATTTCAATTAGTGGCCGTGGAAGTTTTCCTTCTACAAGTTTTTTAACATTCTTCTGCTCCATCAATCCATTGCTTTGGTAAGTAAATTGTTTTTGAAGTTCAAAGGTATACAAGGGTTAAATTTTTTTGAAATATCATTGTTAAATTTCTTATTGTAACATGGGCCAACGGCCCAAGTGACACTATTGTTATTACTTTTTAAATATTGTCATGGACAATTAAAATGGATTATTAAGTTTCTTAAGACTCTCCATTGATTATTATCTCAAAATCTCCATTTTCTAAAGGGAAATTTGCACAAATGGCACCTTAATTTTTCACTTTTATGCATTTGCAACCCAAACTATAATTAAGCAAAGTTAACCACCCATATTTAAAATAATATAGAAAAAGCAACTTAAGTTCAATTTTATCCACAATTTCGTTAAATTTAATCATGTGCTATGGCCGAGCCAGCTTTTTTTAGGCTGACTTTTGAGGATGTTACTTTCACATGATATGCACAAGCCAACTTTTTGATACGCATAAGACGCCTCCGAAAATTCCACCATTGCCTGCCCATAGCAAATGTTGGAGGCCATTCCAAACAAAAAAGTAAGGTATCATTTTTTGTTCTAATCGTAACCTTTACCACATCTTTTGTAATTTCTTTCAAGATTGATGATTAACCAACTTCTTTTTTGGCTGATCCAATCGTTCGTGATAATCATAATATAAAAAAGCTAATAACGGAAAAAAGATCGTTTTTGTTTTCACTTTTCATTATTGTTGTAAATCGACAACTTTCATCTTAAAAATTGGATGGTGCAAGTTACATAATCAAATTTTAATGAAATTTACCTAGAAAAAAAAAAGTTACGTAATCAAACTTTCACGAAATTGACCTAAAAGTTTTAAAGTCTGAGCTTATTGTTAACTTTTTGAACAAGACTTGGCTGCTGAAATTTCAGAAGCTACTCCCACTTACACCCAATTCCGTGTGGACTCCACACGGGATTGGTTGTAAGTAGGAATGGCTGCTGAAATGTTCATTTCAGCAGCCAAGTTAATTCCTAACTTTTTTAGTATGGGTAGTCAAGCTTTAAAGTCCCAAAAATAGAAAACCTGCAAGTCTGTAATCCGAAACAAAGTTTAGCAATTAGTTCAAAACGCAAAATCTGTGCAATGCCATTGCTTGAAAATTCATATTATACACAACTGCAATACAATATTTAAACCAATTGGTTGTTTTGAAGATCTATAAATAGAAAAACAAATTAAAAAAAAAATCAAAGAAAAGCATATATAAATCTCGATCTGGCCAGCCTAATGGCAAAATGGATTCTCCAAAAAATGCTTGAAGCGGATACTAAGATGCATAGACAGACTTCTAGTATATGTGTCCTCCTGGTGCACTTCTGTTCCAAGACAAGTACGATGTATCCCCAAGAGGCCTGCACAAAACGGGCGAATATTTTTTTCAATGACATCTCGCTTGAACAAAGATACAACTGAACCATTTGCAGCATATATACTTTCTATTTCCCATTTTTAAATACTGGTTGCTTAGAGGTATTCATCCATTTTAGCAAAAAGACCAGTGTAAACTTATTGTAGTTTTCAGCCTAAACAGAAGCGAAGCAAGACGAATGATTCCTACAACATTTTTCATCTGATCCCCAAATTTAAAAACATAATTTTCCATAAACTTCGGCACATACAAATTCTAGACGAACTTTTCAAATTTTTTTTTTATTGTTATTGTATTATCGGACCTTGTCGAAGACAACAAAGTTTTAGTTGATCATTGCAAACTGTAAGACCTACTAACCCATTCACATACCTTGGCTTGAAGAGATAGAGAAGTAAGAAGCTTATAGCCAAGAACAAACACAGTCCACCAACAGTAAGGTATGCTATGCCTAGTAGACAATTCTTTCCGCCAATCCAACTTGCGGTTGAAAGTACCAGCTTCTTATTGCCACCAAAGATGTAGGTGTTATAATTATTCTCTATTGTCACAGTTACTATGTCATCGGCTTCAAGGTCCGCTTCTATTTTCCCATATAGTTTTCTGAAAGTTGGCAATGCTGAAGTTCGCATCCAAACCATAAGATCTTCTTGTTCACTCAGCTGGTTGATTGCACAACAAGAAAATAATATTAATTCAAAGAAATATAACAAGGATAGAAAACAAGGGGAACATAAGACAGAAAGTAGGTGCGAAGATTTACAGGTATGCTAGAATTCAGTTTTGCTCCTCCAATCAAACCCCCGCTCTGAAAATTCTTGGGATAGACGTCCGAGCCAAATTTTTTCTTAGGGTCACTTTTCCATGTGATGTCTTTTTTGCTGACCCCTAGTTGTTTGTTATTCACTGAAAACTTGTATGTGTCGTTAAACAAACTCCATGCAACAAGACCACACGGAACAATTGCACCATTTGCTGTATAACGTTCAGGAGCACACGTATCTGTTTTCTTTTCATTGGACTTGCTCCGCAACTGACCGTCACTTCTACTTTTAACATATCTGGATACAATATTTCACATGCCACAAAAGAAACAGAGTCATAGTATTCAGAAATGCAGAATTACAAGAGGGATGGGGGAAAATGCTACACAGATGTAGGCAGTAAAGGGTTAATGGAGAAGGAAATCAAGATGAGGTGCCAATCTAGTGCACAATATGTATATTTACATATGTTTCCACTTTTCAATTGTCAATGAGGTGGCATCATCTGTCCATATAGTCTGATTAGACAGAGCATTATTTCGAATCAGGTGGCAAGTGAGGGTTTTAACTTGTTGAACATACCCCTCTAGAATAACCTACACTATCCCCCATGCTATGTTTTGGATTCCTTTTAGTTTCAGATAACAATTACAGTTCATTACTCGCATTTATGGGTATGTATCCACGTATTGCAGGAAATTTGAGTACCTACAGAAATTGAGTGTGTCCGTATGGGGACCTTATGTTTATTTTCAGATGTTTGGTGCACAGTACTGGCAAAAAGAAACACGGGTTTCATGAATTTTCCTACCTTAAATACTTCTAGCCAAAGTCGGGATATTACATATGCAACTCCATGAGTGATCTTAATGTACTAGAACAATCCTGATCTCGTTCTTCTCTTTTCTCATCCACAATAGTATTTTCCAGATGCTCTCACCCTCCACAATCTTTTACCTCCAGGAACCTTACTCTGTAAGACTTATTCAGATGGTGAAACGATTTGAAGCACTTAAAGGTTCCATCAAAATTGAAACCATTGAAGTACTTGTTTGGAATTTGGATTTTATTAGTTGGAAAGTATTGTTGGCTTTACCCTTAAGCTTTCATTGGTGTTTTGTTCTCTTGGATAACTTGTCGCTGGAGGAGAATAGCTTTGCGGAAACACTTCCAAATTAATATGTAGATACTTTATTTCAAATACTTACGGAATATCTAGGCACTCAGATTTCTGAAAATCATAAAAAATCTAAGGTTCCCCAGCTTACGCTGAGCACAATTTAAAGCTCGCAGTTTCTCTTTGACCATGTTAGCAAACAGAAACTAGGCCTCTTCCACGAAAATTTTATATCAAACACTCATTTCCATGTCCATGCCACATATTCCATGAAAAATGATACTTGACTTGATACTTGACAAGAAACATTTTACATACCGGCGATGATTCTGATAGAAGTGATCAAGCTGGTAGTAAATGTAAACGGGAGATTTCATTTGCTTCGGAATCTGAAAAACCACCGGTAAATGCACATTTTTAGTAGCATGTATCATCAGCCTAGAAAAGCAGAGAAAGACGTTGCAAAATTAGCCTAAACTTAACATTGGCAGAGGATTGCACTTACAGTCACTCTCCTAATACATGTCTTGTTAGTTTTACTACTCTGAATATATGCAAGCTTATTATCCACATAATTAGGAGGAACGCAATCTCTATCATAGTGGTCGACGATTTCCACCACCTGCATGTTAAACAAGGCAAAGTTTGGTTTCAGGCTCCACAATAATCAGCCGCCACTGACCAAACTTCACGATAAGCAATACATAAAGGATATGAAGATATATTACGTGCTCTGATGCAAATAAGGAAGCAAATCCAATGGGTAAAAAGACAATGCCGATTGCGACAAATATTAATATGACCTGAAATCCAGAAAGGAAACATATTTTAGAAACCAAAACACACAAAACTGAAGCAAAACCTGCAACTGAAAAGAAAAATTCTACAAGATGTAGGGTAACCTATACCCATGCTGGTGTTAAAATTGGTTTGCAAGCTGGAAGCTCTTGCTGTGTGAACTGGGAATCTGTAATGCATCATAACAATGCACCAAGCATATTATTTTCGTTAGAATAACGCTTAAACTCCATCCGAGAAGGAGTGGATTGAACAATTCATAATGCACAATGACAATCCAACTGCATCTATTTTTATCTGTTTTATAAATATATAGAAAATATGTTGATCGGGTTGGGGTTCCTCCACAAATCAAATAAATTACACAATCAAGCGTCCAAATAAATGTTAACACAAAAAGAGCAATGAAATTTGAAGAGAAGACATGCTTGACTCCACAAGATTATGGAGGATTTGTACACAGAAAGAGTGCGTGACGAATTCACGGAACTTCAGGCTTACGTTTGAAAATATTCATATTATAAGACACATGCATTTATGCAACACAGAGGAAAAATGAAACAAAAGGGAAGTTAGAAAGGTATGAACGAACATTTGGGTCTTCTGGACTTCTTTTTGGTTGAGGAAGTTAAATCCGAGGCTCCATCTTTTGCATCCATCTCCACGATCCCCTCTCTCTCTACAATGCCACTAGTAAACACACAAAATATTTGATCGATTAAGCAAATTGGAATCAACCCTTTTGAAAATTTGGTAACTTTCTTTGTTCTACTGCAAATTCGGAAGCATGGAAGAACAAAACTTTTGCCCTTTGTTCGTTAATCTGATATTCCAACTCACCCTTGTTTTTAAATTTTTTTGCATTTGTTAGTTTGTGTTGCTTTTTTTGGGAAGTTGATTGGTGATTTGGTGTGGAAGGTTGTTAGGGAAAAACAATGGAACGAAGGATATGATGTGGGTGTTGTGTTGCGTTTTGGTTGGTCTTTGTTTGATTTTGCATGAACGCAACACCGGTCTTGTAGCTCCTAAATCTCGAACTAGTCGCCCCACCAGTCATATATGTTTCTTTAAGCACGGTTCTAAAAATCTCTACCTAGGCGCTAGGCGACTGGTCACTGTCTCGATTAATACCTAGGCGTTTGAAAATTAAGAAATGGCACCTAGACCTGCCTAGGCACCCATCTAACCTGCCCAAACCCACCTAAACACCTGCCTAGGTTGCAACTAGGGGTGGTTCGGTATGGGATACCATACCGAAACTAGTATCCCGAATCCCAAACCAAAATTTTTCGGGATGGGAATTTGAAGACCAATCCCAAACCAAATTTTCGGGAATCCCAAATTTCGGGAATCCCGAAATATTTTCGGGATTTTGGGACAAATCGGGAATCCCAAATTGAAATATGAAATTATGAATTGTTCTTCAAATATATAATTCAAGAACACATTCATGAACTAGGAATTTTATTTCATTCACACTACCATTTAATTGAACACTGGCATGCCTGACTGTTTTTATCATAGTCAAAATTCAAATTAATTAAACCCTTTTTGCAATATGTTGAGAGGCAAAAGAATCAAGCCTTCTAAAATCATCAGCCATGACAGCAGCAATAATAAAATCCACATGAATATCAAACAAAACATGAAAAATATGCAAGGTGTAGGGCATTCCAGGTTGCAGAGCATGAATTAGAAACTACTAGCATCAATTATAAAAGAATAATATATATATAATAATTAATATTATATATTTTCGGTTCGGTATGGGATTCCCGAAATATCGAGAAGCCAATCCCGAATCCCATACCGAAATTTTGGGATCGGTTCGGGATAGCATCCTGAAAATTTCGGGAATTTCGGTTTGGGAAATTTTTGGTTTGGGATCGGGATTTTTTCGGTTCGGTTCGGGATTTTTGGGAATTTTTTCCACCCCTAGTTGCAACTCACTCAAGTAAAAAATAGATAACTTTCCTGTTGCATTTTATTGTTTCCAATAAATTGTAAGAGACTTATTGAAGACTTAAATAAACACACATCATAAATTTAATTACGTTCCAATACTTCATAATATATATGTCATTCTATTTTCTAGTTTATGATGAAACTATATATATTTTAAGTATAAACAAACACTTATTTACATGAAATACAATAAGTTTACTTAAATCTGTCTAGACAGGTGAGCCTAGTCCGCCTAGGCGCTAGATCCCATGCCGCTGTTGGACTAGCGCCTAGTGCCTTTTAGAACCTTATTCTTAAGCACTCTATCTACCTTTTCATCGAACTGCATGGAGACGTTTATGTCTTTTTCTTTCTTCTTTTTATCCTATTCTTTTTAAGGGTCATTTTGATTTTGGTCCCTAATCAACTTAATTGTTAGATTGAAACTTTATTTGTTTAAATATTTTGATCGAGGTCTTTAACATTATTTAAGATATTTAACTCATGCATTTATGCATTTGATGTCCCACAAATTATGAAATTTAAACAAAATCAAATAAAATTTTTAAAATATAATAAATACTTGAAAATAAATATTAGAATAATATTGTTCTTCACAAAACTAAGTAACAGAGGATTTATATGTTTACTCATTGTTTAGTGTCTACTATTGATATCAAATCAAATGTTATGTAACCATACACTCATTGGTTACCTAATGGCGAAAAAATCATTATTGTCACACACTTTTTTTTAATCTCTTTGTACTTATGTGATTGTTTGTAGCCATATGATTTCTTGCTTCACAAAAGGGGAACAACTAGTGATAAGCCACAGTTATTTACTCATTTCGGGCCCGAAAAGGTTATGGGGAATTTCACCCTACTCGTGACCACAGTCAAGTAGAGTTTCTATCCATTTGATTGAATAATTCAACGGTGTTCCAAGTAACATTGTAAAAATATATCTTTAATTACAAATTTTAATATTTAAAATCAAAATTGTTCTAATTCCCAACTTTGTTAATACAGTTTGAGTCTCTTGACAGAGAACACAATTTTAAACCAATGGGAGATCCTTTCACAGGAAAGAAGATGAGTTGCAGGAGGGAAAGACATTTTCCTTCTTCTCTTGGATAAAAAGTAAATAAAGAGGGTGGAAAATGCCGATTAGGCAAGTCACTGTTCCACTATTTTCTATTGGTGAGTTTCTTCTTCTAGTTGGTTTATTTATTTAGGGTTGCTGTGGATTTAAAATTCGTAGTCGGTTGAATTGGATTAATTTGTTATGGAAGATGAATTGAAGAACTGAAAAGGGTATAATAATTTAGTTAGAAAGTTTAATTACCAAGTAATATTGTTGAGTTCATCGCATACGTCGGTTATGCTAGTTAGGTAGAGCAAGGTGTTCATTCTATACACCCAAGTTCAAATCCCCCTTCCCCTAAATTAAAGTATATAGTAGAGAATATCATCTTGTCAAAAAAGAAAATGTTACAGAGTTTATCGTGCATAAAATTCTAAGTGCCATTGAACCAAACACCAAACCTTTAGATTGAAAATATTGAATTGAAAACAGTACAAGCTGTAAATTTGGTATAATTTTATTGCACAGAAACAAACTCTCATGCTTCAATGTTTACACAACAACAGTTCTTCTTTGCAAATGATTAATAGGGAATTGATGTTTAGGAAACAGAAGAGGTAGCATTGCAGTTGGAAGCTCAAATGGCAATCCTCAATCAAGCTCCCTTTATATGACCTCAACTTAGGCTCCAAACAACCTGAAATTATACAGGGAAGAAATTTTCAGTTGTTTTGTTGGCTTTAGTGGAAGGATTGAAAACAAGCCGTTTGTGGGGGATCTTATTCTTTACCTTTATACTCGAGGCTGTGAGCGTCTTGTGCTGCACATCAATGATTTGTTATTAGTTTTGAATGAATGATACAATGTGATTAGAGAAATAAGAGAGGTTATATTAACAAATGCAGAATGATATATTATGTGAGTTTTACAACGATATGTATGCATTTGACATGTGTTTATAAACTTCATCGCTCAGTTTGTTCGAATAAAATATGTTGAGATTGATCATAAATTCTGCATAACACTAGGAAAGTATAATCATGGATTTGACACCTCTTATTTAAATTTTCAATTCTTATCCATGAGGACAAACTTATTGTTATCAACTCAGAAAATTGCTAACTTAGCTGAACATGCCTTAATGTGGTCTTTGGTTTGGCAGTTGGCTTTGGCACTACTGGTTGTTCAGGTTCATCACTTGGGATAGGCACATTCTTCACCTGCAACAAAGCCGATGAAAATCAGCGTCTAAATCTCGAACTTAATTAAAATGACAATAAAGTAAGGGATGCATTCAATTATATAAGAATAATTTATAACATACCAAGTTTCTATATTGGAGATTGAAGAACATATGAATGTATCTTTGCTTCGCCTGTTTCTGCTCTGTGTTCAACTGCCTCCAGAAAGTATAAGTGCTCCCCATGTTCAACACCTTGTTTGCATATATCTTCCAAGTGTAGCTACAAAATTCCAATAACTTGTTTTATATTCCACGTGAGAAGATGTTGGTTTTGTAACTTTGTTAGAATGAGAATGAACTTTAAGAAAACAAGCAGGGATTTAGAGGTCGTGTACTTACCATTCGTATATGCGCTGCAAGCCTGCTTTTGAAAATCTGTCCCAGTATGCAGCATCAGTCTTAGACTTCTCGAAGAAATCAGCGATTTTGTTGCTTGCTTCATCACCGTTGTTGGGATCAATATGGAAACCAGAGATCCCATCAACAATGATTTCAGCCGGGCCTCCTTGGTTGGTTGCAAAGGTGGGCAATCCACAGTTCATTGCCTCTATGACAGTCAGGCCGAAAGCTTCATACAAAGCAGGTTGCACAAAAGCTCCCCTTGTGTCAGCAATACAACGGTAGAGCTCTCCATTTCGGTTCCTATCAGTTTGTGCTGCTATCCATCTGATCTGACCCCTAAGTTGGTACTTCTCTATCAGTGTATGCATCTTTTTTATTTCTGCAATTTCTTCTCTGTCTTTTGATTTTGAAGGGTCAAAGAAGCCCCCAACTACAACAAGGTTAACCAAATTTCTCAGCCTCTTGTTCTTCCCATACCACTCAACCAACCCAGTAATGTTTTTAACTATGTCCAGCCTTGCCATTGAGAAGATGATAGGTATCTTTCTGTCCTCTAGAAATCCGCTGTTCAAAAACAGTTTGGGTTGATGTTAGACGAATAGTAATCAGCATTTGAATTCCAAAAGAATGATTTGCTAGTCCAGAACTTACATATGTTCATTGTTATCCTCTTTACTAAACAGTAGTTCTTCAATGGCAGGATGGAATGAAGTGAGCCGTTTCTGCTTCTCTGCGTAGGGGAAATAGACAGACTGATCAGCCCCAGGAGCGGCAATGTTGAATTTGGGATCAAATACACTGATGCCTGAAACAACTCTGCAGAGCCCCGGAAGCGTAAACGCCGTGTGGCTTTCATATTGTCCCGGTCTGTCTTTGCTGCAAAGACAACATCCAAGTACATTATGGTGTAAACTGTAATGCAATCATTTGGTAAGGGTTTCGTATATATGTATGCTGATTAATTTTGGTAACCTTCCTGCAATTTCCTGGTATGTGCTTGCAATGACAAAATCTGTAGCATTCATGGATATTGTGTCAGCAAGAAATTGGCATGAGAAGTGATACTTATGATCTAACTCCTTCCAGTTGATGTCTGAATCTTCGTACTTGGTCTTCTCCAATGCATGAGCAATAGTTGCCTGGTTTTAGTGCGCTATGGGTTAGTACATATGAAGTGGGAGAAAAATGTGTTATGGTTGTATTTATAAGATAAATGAACAGTGACCTGAGTTATCCCAAGTTTATTAGCCATGAGAGACGCCACCAAATTCCCATCTGTGTAGTTTCCAATAATAAGATCTGCCTTTCCTTCCATCAGGTCGAGGATTTTGGCAGTAGCATCCTAGTAGTTTGAAAGAGATGCAACAAATTATTAAGAACATAAAGCACAAAAATCAATTAGTGAACACTCTCAAGCATGGATTTAAAAATCAACAAAAACATGCCTGTGTAAACAATTCAAGATAGGGATAGATGTCAAAACGAGAAACCCAACGGCGTAGGATTCCCTTCTCTGTCCTAAATGGCACCCTAAGAATCTTAGAGTATTTTGTGCCGTTGATTGGTTCCAACTCCTGGTTGCACTTAGTTCCCCTTGCTTCTGGTATGAGTCGTGTCACCTATTGTAGTGAACAATTGTAGTTAGATAATTCTAAATAACCAAACTACCTTAACAAGCAAATCGTCCATAGTTGTCGATGAAACTCACCACAAGAATTTGAGGCTTCACAGTAAGTCCTTGTTGCTTAATTCTCACAAGCAATTCTTCCTCCAAAGCTTTCACTTGATCAAGAATGTAAACTACCTGTTTTCAATAGTAGAGTTCACAAACATTCGGCTCACCAGCTAATGCCAATTGCGTGGAGACTTAGCTTAACAGATACAGTATTTAAACTTTTACCTGCCCACCAGTGTCTGGCAAGCCAAGAACATCTGCTTGACCAAAGTAGCCATGAGGAGAGAATATTACAACATTGAATATTGTGGGAAGCCTACTGAAAAATCTGTCCATGATCAACGGGTCTGGAGCCTGTAGTACTTCCGAAAGTATTCTCATTGTCTCCTTTGTTCTTTCTGCAGTGTCTCCCCAACCCTTCTCAAAGCCCCACTCCTTAAACCTGTAAATGACGTTCGGTTTCAGATTGAAAGTTACATTACAGGATCTGCCGATGGATAGAAAATGAGAGGAAGAGTCACCTTAGTTCAAAATTTTGGAATGGTGTGTCCTTAGGAAGCGCTGAGAGGTACACTTCTGTTACAATCAGTGTCGCCTGAAGCTTTGAAGCTGTGTTGAGGGTCTCATTTAGAATAAGTTGCTGTAAATTCAAAATTACATAAACTATGTTTGAGACCTTATCATTAGAATGAAATTTGAATTCGTCTGCATCAAATTTTATTTTTTGTAGAATTAAATTACTGTGATTCCCTTACTTCTCCCTGATGATTTAGTGAAAGTAAGTAATCCACAAGGGGTTGTGCATTCTCCAGTTTTCCAGCTAGCTTTGAAGTGGCGAACTTGGTAACATAATTGATTCCATTTCCGATCGAGGAAGATAGAGTTAAGTGAGGAGTAGAGAAATCAATTGCTCTAAAATCTACCTCCAGTGCATTTTCATCATTTGACCTGCAATGGAAAGCATATGTGGGTTAGGCCAGTTGGCGGTTGGCCATGGCAGTGTGCTCATTGCTTGCACCCAAATCCCCATCCCATAGATTTGAGTAGTTTAGAATATCGCTATGTCCAAAAAAGAAAAACTTAAAAAAAAAAAAAAAGTAAAAAAGATTTACCAGTTCTCATCATATAAAGTTTCTTTGTATTTCAAGAAGTCTCTGAGAGTGATGCCCTCAACCGAGAGGTCCTCAGAGCTGACCTTAACAAATTCCCAATATCCTGGATTTGGTCTTATTGAAAAGACAACATGTGGAGGAATAACAACAGCTTCCTGTGGATTATATTAGGTAAACATCTCATTTGGTCAGAAGTAAACCCGTTAGATTCTAGTCATATAATGGTCTAACGGTTCAAAATTTTAGTCAGTCGCCCAAAAAGGAAGAACATATATATAAAAAAGAAGTGTTGAATTAGAAACCTGAGTTGAACATAATATATAGCCAAGAACACCCTCCAAAACTTGGGTTCTTTCAGCTTTGTCATCTATGACTGTCTCCATTTCACTCAACAAATGGTGAAGCTTTATTATCCTTCTTCCTTTCTCGATGTACTTAGCGAAGCACCTCTTCATGTGGTACCGGCTCTGCCTCAGGGCGTCCGGCATGTTATCAGCTATGGACTCGGAGCGTTTGATAGCTGCTCCAGAAGCCATTTTTTGTGTAAATATTTTTCTTTTTAAAGAGACAAAGGTTTCAAATGCTTAAAAGATGAAGCAGTTTGAGGTTTCTCAGCTTATATTTCCTCATTTATAGGTGGCTTTCGGACTCCATTATGTACAATGTCTGTGATGCGGCTGACTTGCTTATGTTGCAGATTGCTTTTGGTTTCGTCAAGAGCTTTAGAAATGTGAGCTTGTTTTGGTGATGAAATGTGTCCAAAAAGAAGAGTGGAAGAAGAAAGATTCACCACCAAGTGAGGAGAAGGAAAAGAAAAGAATTATTCACTTCAAAATTCATTACAACATATATAAAGGAAAGAACCAAAAAAAAAAGAATGTGATCACTGTAAGTGAAAATATTCTGGTGTTTAAAGTAGGTGTTTCTTTCTAACCTAAGTTACTGGTAACATTCTTTCCCTCTTTCTGTCTTGTTGCATTGGTTGGCATAAGAAAGAATATCGAAAGATGGTATCTTCACGATATATAGCTAATAAAATTTGTTAGTCTGTGTGTAGTATTTGTAAAAGGATAATACTTTGGTAGCATCTTTTTATTCACGCCTTGATACCATGTGGAGTTGTAATTGTATTGATACAAATATATATTAATCTTTTGACTTGGAGTACAACTAAACCTAAGCGCACATAAATTTAAAAAAAAATTAGTCAAACAAAATTCTAACTGGATTCTCCTACATTAACATATGAATAATGTTAGGGATAAATTATTAAACCAAATTTACAAACCAAATGATGTGTCATTAATAAGAAATATGCATGTTAATCTTCACGCGGTTGTACTTTTTGATGGGGTTTGATTTGGTTGGAATCACGAAGACTACAATATGTCAAGGATGTCAAAACTGTACGTGGAAATAAACAGGCTTGTAACACATAACCTCTCCTAAATTAACTTGTGAAATGTCGGGCATAAAATGAGGGGAGGTTTAAGATTCAAATCTTATGAACAGCGAGTGCCGTACTAGTTTGTAATGACTGACCAATGACTTTTTCAAATTTAACATTACAAATTTACAAAATAAATTATGGATATACGTCATACTAATAATGATTGACGGGCGGACTTTTTAAATATGACATACAAAATAAAGGGAGAATGACTGAGATTGAAAATAGAAGATACAAAATAGTTGTGAAAATCAAATCTAACGGCTAAAACATCTTCCACCATGACAGACAAATGAAACATACTACAGTTTTTTTAGATAAAAAAAGAAGCAAAGAAAAGCCTGCAAGGCAGCACAATCCTGAGAAACATACTGAGTTTGATTTGCTTTTAAAATAGGGAATTGTTATTGGTAGTCTAAAAATTTCATTTTGCACTTTAAACTTTCTATAATTAGAAAGAAAAATACATATGTGAGGATGTAAATTGAGAATTTTAAGGGGTGTATTCAATTGAGAATTTTATAGACTTTAATGGATTTATAAATCCATGAATTTTTATGAAGTTTAATTGATTTATAGAGATTCCATATAAAATTTTGATTCAATTCCCTCAAAATCTCATAGGGAAAGGTGAGATTTGTGGATGCTTTAAATACACTATAAAATCTCTCCAATTCCCTCTAGTTTCTCAACTTTCTTAAATTCTTTAAAATCAATTTCTAATTGAATACACCTGAAATGTTATAAACTCCTTTAAAATCCTAATTGAATACATCCGAATTTCTAAGTATTTTAATAAACTATCTTAAAATTCTAATTAAATACACCTTGAATTTCAAAGAATCACTTAAAATTCTGATTGAATACCCTTAAATTCATTAAAAGAATGAAAATCTCTCAAAATTTCAATTGAATACACTCCCCTTAGAATGTGTGTAAAAGTTTGCTTTCAATATTATTAAAATGAAACAATAAAAAATCCCATGATTATCGATGTCATCATCCATTCGCAGAGTAATTATCTGGATGTTTTACATAATGGGACCATAAAAACACCATGAATAGGTTGGTTAACGTAATTTGATTCTTTATTTTGATGAATCTGAATATTTGATCGTTTGCCTGATTGCTTCTGCTTAATTTGCTTATATTAATATATCACATATTGTGTAATGGGTGGAATTTTATTTTTTGTTTGTTTCTCTATCAATTTTTTGTTTGCTGAATATTGAGTTAAATGTTGATTCTCAATTTGTACATTTGCATTTTAAAATGCGAGACGTGTAATATTAAAGTAATGTGTTTATCTTCTCTCCTTTGGTATTAATTTTTAATAATATTTAATGTAGAAATAGATTTTTCATATAAGGTCCACTTCAAAGGCTCGTTTAGAGCCCCCAAATTCTTAGAGCCGACTATGGGTAAATTTCTACTGCAAGTTGCTTATAGATCAGATTATTAAAAATATTTATCTTGTACTTGAGGTCTCATGTTTGAATACTCATCCTATATTTTGATATAGATTATCAAAGGGGTGGGCGCGGGCAATATCGGGCTCAAAATTAGAGGGATCGGATTGAACCTGTTTGCAAATGAAATGGGACGGGTGGGTCTTTTTCTTTTAAAAATAAAACCGGACCTAGCCCCGATTCATTTTAACAAGCCGATTCTTACAGGTTGACCGTTTTTTTTTTTTTTTTTTTTTCTGAAATTGTTGTTCAGCAGCAACAACAAAATAGCTGCTCCAGCAAGTTACACCAACAAAATTAGCTTTGCCATTCTTTTTTTTATGTCCAGCTGCTCCAGCAAATTACACCAACAAAATAACAGCAGAAACAACAAATTAAGCAGCAACAACAAAATTTATGTCCAGCATATTACATCAACAGCAAGTTACAAAGTTCCCCAAACCATGGAAATATTTCCATCTCAAGGCTCAAGCTCGTCTGCAAACCAGGACAAAAGATGGAGGTATAGCAGAATGCAAAAAACAGCAAATAACTATTACAATAGAAATCAAGTGGGGAGATAACTATTTCAATCTTTTTTTTCACACTTATAAATTCTGAAAAAGAAAGGATTAATTTCTCATTACAATTTTCATTTATAGACTGCGTTTTGATTTTCTAGACAAGAAAGTGGAAGTTTTTATAATTAAAAAAAAAAAAAAAATTTAGTCTTAGCCAGTATAGCACTGTATTAAACATTTAACAATTCTAGTATTGCTTAATCCATGTCAAGCCTAACAATTCTAGTATTGCTTAATCCATGTCAAGCCAACTCAACTTAGTCTCTGAAAGTTAGTCTAATTCGAGATATTTTGGTGCCACAAACGCATTCTTATTGTTTTCTCTCTTATTTTGTATGTTTTGGGAGGATTTGAGATTGAAATGTTGAAACGTGTTATTTGAATTCATACTAGCATTTGCATATACACTTTGTGTGTATGAACACATTTTTTTAGAAAATAAGAATGAGAGAGGGTGAGAGAGAAAGTGTGGGGAGTGCGAGGTTTTTGTTTTTGTTTTTTTTATTTTTTATTATATAAATATTGGAGGTATTTTAATATCATATGTAAGTGAGGTTTCAATAAAAAACAATTAAATTTGGACTTGTGAAATTATATTATTGGCCATCATTTTTTTTTGTATGATATAAGACTAAATAATATTTTCACCATCTTTTAATTGACAAAAAATATTTTATTAATTAATAAAGATTTATCGGTTTACGGAGTAGCAACCTAAATTGTTTAGATTTGCAAATCCTATTTGTCACCTTCACAATTAATGTCATAATTGTTGCCACCATCATTAAAGTGATGTACCATGAGCAAAAATGCATTGATATGACAAGATGGTTTGACTTGAGACCATGAGCAATGTGAGAAAATTATGGTTGGAAATTAAAACAAATGAGTATTAAGTAATACGGTATAAACACATTATTTATTAACAATACAATTTAAATTATCAAATTATATATAAACATGATTATTTTCTGTCATTATAATAAAACATCATATGATATCAAAATCAATATTGTCATCAATCAAACCTAACTACCTGTTTGCCTACTTTTAATATCTCCTCCCTCCTTTTTCTCTTCCAACTTGTACTACAATTTTGGCGGCCTTGGCCAATATGTTTCCCGCAAAAAGGGCAAAAAAAGAAGAAAAAAAAATTCCATGAGGAAATGAGTTTCACGAGTGGAGCGCAGTGAGCGGGCGGTTACTTATAATTTAAGAAAAACCGGACAGGAAAAAAATTAATAATTTAATAAAGAAGAAATTAATAACAAATTTAGAAACCTTGCGGCTGATAAACGTTGAACAGTTTGCGTCCAAGTTGTACACTGCTGGATCCGAGCTCGAAGATTCCTAAAATATTCCCCCAGTTGGCCGTCGGCGATCTGGGTTGTCTTCTTTCGTCGCCTTCATTGCCCCCCGACCCAAAAGGGAATTCTGAAAAATTTTACTTGCCATTGTTGCAGAGAAGAGAGAGAGAGAGACAGGATTCTTCTTCTTCTTTCCGTTTCGATTTGTGGTAGAGAGGGAGAGGAGAGAGAGTATATGTGACATGATAAATGACATGAGTTGGTATGAGAAGCTGCGTTGTTGTTGTTCTTCTTCCAATCTCAGCCGCATAATTGCAGGCCTTTTAATCTTCATTCTTTATCATTCTTTCCAGTTAATCTCCAAGATTCCTATACACCCTGAAAAATAAAAACCCACAATTCAGAATTCCAAATTTTATTTGAATTAATCATTCAATTCAATTCTTTTCAAATCCCCATTTTCTTGGAAGTTCCAATGGACCCGAAGGATCCGTTATCCGCTGATTTATTTGATGGTATGTTTTCTGCCTTTTAATAATTTGAAGCTGCATTTCAAATTTGGGTGGTGGTTATTTTTGATAAAATTTGTTGCTTTTTGGTCTGACAATTGTGATATTTGTGTTGAGTAGGCTCTGTTTTGTCTCACATTGAGAGGCAACAGAATGTATGCCCTTCTGTTATTGTCATTGGTGGCGGTATATCAGGGATTGCTGCTGCCCGTATTCTCCATGATGCATCTTTTAAGGTCAGTGGTCGGCAACAATTAGTATTATCCCTCTATGTATATGTGTGTGTGTGTGAATATGTTTTGGACCCCTAAAAAATTATCGAAAAATTGTATCTTGCTTGATTTCAGCAATGCCTTAACGTTATTGTCATAATTTTGTCAGGTGGTTTTGCT